CACTTCCCCCACAGTCTGATGGGATGGTAGAAAAGTACAACTGGACACTGGGACAGGAAGTTTTGGAATAGCCGCCAAGATGACTGGGATGTCTTACTCTCTCCACTGTTGATGGTCTATAGGATAGCAGAGCATGAAACCACTGGATACACTCCAACAAAGTTGATGTTTGGTCGGGAACTTCGTTTGCCAGTGGATCTGTTAACAGGACGCCCACCTTATAAAGAGTTGCCTGAGAATGTATCAGAGTTTGTGAAAATGTTATCGGAAAGGATGGATAATATTCACCATCAAGTGCGTTCAAACTTGAAAACGTCTGCTGATTCGATGAAATTAACTTATGATAAGAGATCTACTGAAGTCAGCTTTGTACCAGGAGACATTTCCGTTGGGACAAAGTGAACAACAGAACAAATGACGCTGCTGAAGACGTGTCACCTGAAAAAGCCAATGTTGAAGAAGAAACTCTACCGAGTTTTGAGAAGAGAAACGGTGAGGCTCTTGATGAAGTTACTACCATTGATGTGACTGTTACTGACGATAAGACATTTCCTGATGAAGCAGATGAACTCCACGTGAAGCAGAAGCCAACGAGACGGAGACCAGTACGGAAAAAGATAAGTCCCGCAAAATTAAGAGACTTTGTTGAATTGTAATTTTGTGTTTGTAATTCTGTACATTTAATTAAGTTATTGTTAATTGTTATTGGTTTATTGTAAGTGGCTATTGTTCGGGACGAAAAATACTAAGGAGGAGCAGTGTTGCGTGAGCGAGGTCACGTGACTAGTATCACGCCACCTCTTTCTAGAAATATCCTGTTCCTTCAAGAATGCCCTAGCATTTACTAGATATGTGTTAGTCTTGTATATATAAGACGTTCACAACGTAACGGAACAAGAGGATAATGAGTAATTGAACTGCAGTCAAAGAGAATATTGTTAAGCACGTGAGAAGTTCGTTGAGAATTATACCGTTTGTTACAGAGCGACTGTTGAAATTAAGTGTATCGTAAAGTTGTATTCGGAAAGAATAAACCAGTTTTATTTACGAAAGGACTTGTGTTGCTAAAGTCTCGTCCGAACGAATTTACGGAAAATCAACTAACGACTGGAGGCGTAACAAATTGGTGTCAGAAGTGGGATAGAAAAAAAAATGGAAACGAGAAGTTTGTTTGTTTTTGAATTTCGCGCAAAGCTACACGAGGGCTATCTGCGCAAGCCATCCCTAATTTAGCAGTGTAAGAATAGAAGGAAGGCAGCTAATCATCACCACCCACCGCCAACTCTTGGGCTACTCTTTTACCAACGAATAGTGGGATTGACATTATAACGCCCCCACGGCTAAAAGGGCGAACATGTTTGGTGTCGAACCCGCGACCCTCGGATTGTGAGTCGAGCGCCCTAACCACCTGGCCATGTCAGGCCGGTATTTTA